ATGTTGTGAAAATTACTACAAGTTTTTGAAAAGTACTACAGGGTTTTAAATGGGCACAGGTCCTACTGAATAAACACTACTCTGATCCTTCACACCTTTATTTTCATTTATGAAAATTTAAATATGTCTTTCCACACAAGGGTTAATTTTATGATTTGTTGTGACATATACTAACACTTTTGTTTAATGCATTTAGAAAAAGGAGCCTGAGCAGGTGCAGAAGGCAGCAGTCCCCATCATTGCTGCTGAGGAGGAAGAGGAAATGTCACGAGGGAACCCACTGGATGTTTTGATTGTCTTTGAAGACGGAGAGGTGATGTCAACCAAGTCTAGGGTCAGTGCACTGCTGCTGCTTTTGCACTTTATGCCCTCATTTAGAGTACACTAACTTCTCAAAACAGCTTTACAGAAAATGCATGTGTCTACATTACAATTTAGCCTGACCTCCTGTACTATAAATACTATTCTTTTCAACTTGAATAGTGTTGTATCATGTGATTTAAAGTGATGCTATATGGGTGTACTCACTTCTGTTGTATACTGTATGTTTGACTAATACACTGGAAGCAATATTGACGTGACATACTGACACAATTCCTCACCGCTAATCATGATGTTCATTCTATTAAGTAGTACGGGTTTAATACAGGAGATTTACAGTCTGATGTAGTAAAAAGAAAAAGTTGTATGAACATGCCCTCTGACCGTACCTCTTTTACTTTGATATATGCTGTTCTTTCCATACACAAGTACATCTAATGTGTGAGCGGCCATCAAGCGCAATTGTAACAAAGAGCAATTCTTTATAGAATTGCAATATTTTTTGGACATGTATAATTTAAAATTGTTATGTATTATGTTGTATTGTTTTTTATTTGTTTTATTGTATTTATTTTACGTTCGGAATAAAGTAAAAAAAAAATCAAAATCAAATTCAGCAAAAAAGTGAAGTTTGTGTGTTGCTGCTGTTACAAAATGTTTTTATTTTTGTATGTTTGTTTCTTTCAGCGTTCTTTTTATTTAAAAACATAGTTGCATTTTATGTTTTGCAATGCTAAAACCATTTAAGGTTTAAATAAACACTGTTTGAATTGTTAATAATGTGTCTCTGTCTGTCATTGAAGTTATGTATTTATTGTAATGACCTTAAAAAGTGGATTCAGCATTGGGGAAAAATTAGCATATTTTTACTCAAAAATAATACATTTATAGTATATTGCTTGTGTGTTTCAAAGACACTCATAATTAATTTGTAATGTACTCGTAATACAAAAAAAGTACACTTTAATATCACTAATCAAGCATGTAAATAGGCATAAGCCTAAAGTGTTTATGATTACTAAGTATACTTGAAGTTGTTCCAATTTAGCATA